TTTTTTTTATTATTATTTAATGGTAAAACTAAAACCACATTAACATTTTTAGAATGTCATGAATGCACTAAACAAAACTATTTCCTTAATACTCGAAAAGGGTGAAGCTTTATCACTGGCAATTCATATATTTAGAACACATTGATTAATTTATTTCAGCAATTTATATGATTTTGACTCTTAGTTTGAAACCAACTAAAAATATGTTTGAGATTTCCAATGTGAACAATGGATTGAAAAAAAAAAGGATATTAGGTGTGCTCATTGAGATTACTTTCACTGAAATTCGAAGTCAAAATCATCCTAATTATTAATCTAGTTGATGTTGGAATATATGCCAATAAAATTGTATATTACATGTAAACCCTTTGGTTTCTTATGTCAGGTAGGGGAGAATAAAAGGAAGATCTGTTTCTACATCTAATCTCCCATTGACAAAAAGGAGTTAAGCACCTGGCCTAGACTGCACCTCTCTTAGTTATAAAATTTGGGTTTAATACTTCAATTTTAATTCTCCCTTCCAAACTATTATGATATACAATGGTTTGACCTAGCCTTCTGCTTGCAAGTTGCAATGGGTTCCCACCGCAAAACCACCAAATATGTCCAATGCTCCAAATTAAAATATCAAACAACTTCATGACAATGACCCTCTAACCCCAATCTTTATCAATAAAAAATTAGGGGAAAAAAAAAGGGGTAGTAATAAGCATTAAAGTGTAAACCACTCAATGTTGGATTAGAAGTGATTTTTTAATATGGGATTGGAGCTTTCCCTTGTCATGTCTTGTGAGATATTGGCCTTGACTTGATTGGTATCTTGTGAAAATGTTAAAGAGATGTAAATTGGATTAAGGATAGGGCATGCCCCTCTCACTTGGACCACCCTTGGTTGTAAAGTGCAGAAGAAAAGGGGGGGGAAGTGATCTTTTCAATTTCCCATGTTTCTTTCATATACAAATCCAGAAACTCATTTTCAAGTTTGACTAAGAATGGTTCAAAAAAGGTGTTGGGGAAGAAAATGAGAGTGGAATAAATATGATATTTCTCATGCTATACATGATCGTATATATTAAACCCAATTTATATACATGCAACTTTTACTTTTACTTTTTCTTTGAATATGGAACATTAAACATTAACTCCTATATTGTGGGGATTATCTCTAGAATTTTTATAATGAAGAAATAAGTGTTTAAATGTGAAGGGAGTTACTAAAGTGTAATTGAAAACTTTCATGACTGTCACTGTGACTCATGAGCTTTGTGTTGAGATTGCTTCTCTCCTTCCTCAATGATTTTTTTTTTTTTTTGTAATTTTTTTGAATTATTACAATTTTGAGGTAGGGGATTGAACTTAACACTACTTTTTTTATTTTTTAAAGAGTTGTTAAGGTGTTTTCACATCACACAAGCTAAATGGTTTAATGTAATATGTTTTTATATTGAATTTCCTTTGATTTGCGTCTCAAAATCTCAACATATATATGCTTAAGATAGCAAAATTTTTGAAAACAAAAGGAAACAAATATATTCTTGAGGACGTTAGAGCTAAGCAGAATTAAAGTACTTTATCTTTAGTTGAAGGGTACCCATGTGCGTGATCTTACAACAACCCCCAATAAATACTAATATGTCATGTGCGTGGGAAGTCCTCCATTATTTGGTCCATCTCCATCGTCCAGTTCACATTTCGATTTCATAGGAGTACCAGTATAAGGAATTCTTCTTAGACCTTTATGATTTGATGACTTTATTATGACGCACATTCCTAGGTGTATTTATTTATATATAAATGTTGCTGCCTCACTTAATTTATTATATTAT